GGCGCGGCGCTCCTGGCGCTGGGCCGCCGAGGCTTCTTGCCCGTCGGCGTGTGCCTCAGGCCGAGGAAAGGCCTGTGCGGCCCGCAGACCACGGGGGAGAGGGCGGCCGTCAGCACCGCGCCCGGAGGGCTCGGAGCCACGTTGTACTCCTCCAGCAGGCGCACGATGTCGTGGTGCATGCGGTCCCGGGCCACGTCGCGGGGAAGGCGGTCCATGTGGTCCGTGATGTCGCGGTTGGCGAAGTGGTCCAGCAGGATCTTGGCCGCTTCGTAGCTCCCCTCCCGGGCAGCAAGAAACAAAGGCGTCTCTTCCTACGGGGAAGGGCGGCCACAGGGCGCATTTCAGGGCCACTTGCGAACACAGCAGCGTTTCCGATCCTGTTTACCATCCTCCCCCTTAGACATCTTTTCTTAATTGCTTCCCGCACGAAACAGCCATAGCAGAGATGAGCTGTGTGTGTAAACTGTGTACTGAATGTACACCTGTGGATTACCCAGCAAAACTGTTTCAATTGCTTCACCTCGCCCCAAACACCACCTTTGCCTATTAGGGGCAACATCCTTAATGTGGGAGTTTGTAAAATCCAGCATGCCCCTGAATTACAAACCATCTTCAAAGAGTACTGAGCTTAGCAAAATAAGGTCCTAAGAGGAAAAGGAATTAGAAATAAGAAGGGTAGCAGGAGCAAAAACTAAAGCCGGCACTGAAGTGGGGGAAAAATAAGGGAGAGAGTGAAAGGAGAGACAAAACATGGGCAAGAAAAAACTAAAAGAAGGGCAAAATGGAAGTAAGTGAGAGAGGGAAGCATGACAAAATACTCAGAGGGAGAAAACAGAACAGGAAAACAGCATGCCGTGGAAAGACGGGAAAAACAAACCAGTAGGTAAAAAAGGACAAAGGAAAACGAACAAGAGAAAAGGCAGTGACCATGAACAGAAGAGAGAACTGAGCAAAAAGAAAAAGAGAGAGAGAAAAGGAAGGGAAGGTGACACCCAGTTATCTACAGGCCGGCCTGGTGCAAGCTGAACACTGAGTGGGCGGAGGACGCACTCCCGACACTCCCGACACTGCCCTTCCGGACACTCTGGACCCAGGTCCTGTCTACCCTGCTTCCATCGCTGTCGATCCTTGTCGCAAGAGAAGCTATGAGGAGAAGAGGCAAGAGCCTTAGCACTGAGGCACTGCCAGGAGCTTCCTCAAGCTCGGAGCCCACAGACTGTACCTTGTTGTCCTGCATGTCTCGGTTGGCCCCGTTTTTCAACAGCAAGAGCGTTGCCTCCACGTTATTCACAGCGGCTGCCCAGTGAAGAGCAGATTTTCCTGGTGGGAATAACATTTTTGTAAGCAGGCATATCTCATTTCTAGTATAAAGAAGTACCATGACTTATACAAGGACAGCTTAAACTCTCCAGAGATCAGCAGAAAGCCATTCTCTGTGGGGGCCTAGAGGAAAAACCAAAGTAATATCTTCCTTTCTTTCTTTCTCTTTTTTGTTCTAGAAATACTTCAGAACAAGCTCCCCAGCTTTCAGTAAGCCTCCAGGTGAAAGGATCCATTGTGTGAGGTATCCGTTTCCTCCACATGGGCGAGCTGCCATGTCACATACTGAAGAAAACAACCTTTCTAGTCATGCTAGAATGTATATTTAAGGTATCCCACAACTCTCCCAGGAAAGTCAGCTGCCATTAATCTCATATCAAGAGTGGTATGCTTAGGAAACGACACGGGCAAGCCTTTCATGAACCTGCCTTGGGGGCCAAGAACCCTCATTAAAAATCCCTTCTCATCTTAATTAGGGACCTTCCACTGTCTTGGTTCTTTGAGCTCAACAGACTGAAGGAAGAATGAATGAATATGTGGATGAAAAAAATGAGTGACTCTTCAGCGCCTTGGGATCTGGGACAGTGCTTTGAGGGTCACGTAACAGTTCCCCCGAGAGCCACGTTTTGCAGTAAGATCCCCAAATCCCTGCCTTTCACCCCTACCGTGGTCATCCACCGCGTTCACATCGGCCTGGCAGTTTATCAGCTCGGCCACCATTCCCTCCACAGCCAGGCGGGCAGCCAGGATCAGGGGCGTGGTGCCGTCATTCATCCTGGCATCTAGATCCGTTACGCGGCTGCGGATCAGAATCTGGAAGAGAAAGTCCACACAAGGGTTCCTGGATGAAGGAAAGCAATGGAACTCAGAAGACACAAGCGCACTGGAGCTGAGTCTGCATCGTAAGTTCCAGGAGGGCAGGGTTCTCGAGATACGATGGCTCGTGTAAGGTGATGGGCACATCCTACTCTCTAAGGGAAGGAGAGGGAGGTGGGGAAACATCACAACTTCGGCACATGAGGTACAGCTCGAAGCGACTCACAACTCTTCCAGTTTCCTTGTGAGGATACACAAAAAGAACATCAGGGAGGAGACTATGAACGCATGCCAAGAAAACTACCAATGAGCAGCTAGTCTTATGTGGTTAGGCAAATCTACAGGGAGCTGCTGATACTCGTCAAAGGCTCTGGAACAGGCATCCTCCCATCTCATCTGTGCACTGGGGAAGCACCTTGGCACAACAAGATATCACTCACTGATCATCAGAAGCCTGGTGCTCTGTCTTCCCTGGCTATCCACAGCTAGGTCAGTTTGTCTGCCTCCCTTTTCTGGCTTTCCCTTCTAGCCAGCATGACTCTAACGCCTTCCCTAATCTCTCCAATAATTGAACAAATCCGCCGAGGCGGTCACACCTGAAGAAAGACAAAGCATTACGGAAGCATAGGGACTTCTCATGACTCCAATCGACCCTTCTCGGGTTCTTTACCTGGAAGACACCTTGAGCATCAGCTGCCACTGCGGCATGGAGAGGGCAGCGGCCCATGTTGTCCTGAGCGTTGGCATCTGCGCCTGCGTCCAGCAGACGCTTGGCAGCATCAGCCCGTGAGTAGCGGGCTGCCAGGTGCAGGGCCATCTCACCGGTCCGGTCTGTCTGGGCCTGGAGACTGGCACCCTGGTAGACCAGGTCGGTGATGATGTTGGCAGAAGAGTCCTCTGCGTCTTCCTCTTCCTCACTCATGTCTGAGCTGCCGCCTCGGAGGGAAGCCAGCATCAGCGGGGTGCACCCATCTGCAGGAAGGGAAATCCCGAAGGTATTCAAGAAGGATAAGACAGTTAACCCCATTGCTGGGATAGTTCTATTAGAGTAAATATGCTCCTTGGGGCAAAGATATTCCTGTACTTTTTGTGGTAACTGGTGGTCAGCTCAGCATCTGTCACATGCTTTTCCTCTGATAATGTTGCTTCAGTAAAGAGAAATGGGAGAGTAAGAATCTTTTTAAGCTAGGGGCTCCTCTCTAAGTTAAATAAGCTTTTCTGTTTAAGTGCCATGCTATTTTAAGCTGGACAACATTTGAAAATATCGAATGTCATTAGACTTATATTCATAAGGTATCAACTAAACTCATTATCTAGCCTATGCTTGGGGTCTTCTTTTTCTATGCTACTAAAATCTAACCCATTTAATCAGCCTGTTTAGACTCAACACACTGTATATGAAGCAATGTGAAGTCCTTCTCTTCTGAGTTCATAATTTCTTCATGCCTACATTTCTTAAGCATTCATTTCCTCAAGTTGATGCGGAGTCTGTGAAACTGGGAGGCAGTGTATGGTCAGGTGGGGCAAACACAAGGACAAAGGCCATGCAGAAAAGCAACACAGAACCAAGGGCAGCCATGGTCCAGCGAAGGGGAGGGCTTCCTGGTGCTGACCTGGGCCCCGGACATTCACGTCCAGCACATCCACCTCCTGCTCTGCCTGAGGAGGTGTGAGAGCCAATGAGGGTGTCCTACGGATGTCTGCAGCTTCAAGGTGCTGCTGTGTCCATGGGCGTCGATCGATGGGGTCATCTTCTTCTGAGAGCAAAGCCTCATCTTCAGCCTGAAAGGGGAAAACAATGCTCCCTGCCAGTCTGACCACCACCAGAACCTGCTGGCAGGGAGCGGTCCAGAGTCTTCAACCTCATGCCCCACCCAGCTTTCTCTGTCTTCCTGCTCTAGCCCTTCAGGTGACTATCCCCCTCGATGTCCCACTGCTCTTGTGATGTGGTGTGGCTCCTGTTCACCTCTCCTGCATCACCTGAACAGTGTTCTCCACCTCCCCATCCCAAACTCTAGGCTTTGGCCTGAATATGCTACTTCTCTAGTCTCAAAGTGCCATATTCTTACTTCTACCTCCTCTCCAAACAGAAATGAGACTCTAAGTCTTTTCCTTGGTCCTAAAAAGCACACTCTGCTTACCTCTGCTTAACCAACCATGAGTTAAGTGCTTACATGGCACACGCAGTCTCTACCACTAGACTGTAAGCTTCTCAAGAAGTGGGAATAAGCCTCATTTAAGATTGCTTCCCTGTACTTAGCATAGCACCCAACATGTTGCACTAAGAAAAGATTAAATAATAATACTTATAATAATTTAAATCACTCTTGACTGAATATGCAGTAGGTGACAAGAAAACAGGTAAGGCCCAATACAGCAGTTGCTGTACTTAATCCTCACAACAACTCACGAAAGAAAGAGTCACTATCGTACAGGTAAAGATAATTAAATAAAAAGAGGTTAACTAGCTTGCCAGCTACTAAGTAGCAGAGTTCTGGACTCGAATCCAGTTCTGACTGTCACTAAAGCAATGCCCTTAACCATCATGCTCTACTAGCTCCCAGTCATGCACAGATGTGATGCATGGTGTCTTTTTTTCACTTCTGCTTCAGCCCAACCTACCATTTGCTTCCATATGGTTTTAGTTTCTTGGGCTCAAGATGTGGAGCCCCCAGTACCAACTGTCACTGGCTTTCTCCCACTATTTAGTTCCATCTTCTCTCACAGAAGGGAAAGATGCAGCCATGAAGAAACGGCCGCTTACACACACCAGTCCTAACTCGGTTACCATCATTATGACACTAGAGGAAGGAGGCATGATTAATATTTTTAAGGAAGTCCTTCTTGAAAAACATACAGACTCTATATGGATCAAACACCTAAACATAAAACCTCCAACTATAAGAATCTTAGAAAATGCAGGAGACACCCTTATGGAAATTGGAACTGGCAACCCATTCTTCTTCAGAAACCTAAAGGTCAACACCTTAAGAAATAAGACAGACAAGCAGGACCTCAGCAAACTGACGAGCTTCTGCAAAGCAAAAGAAACCATCAAGAGAGCACAGAGACAGCCCATGAAATGGGAAAAAATATTTGCCAACTATATATCTGACAAAGGCCTAACATCCCAGATCTACAAGGTACTCAAACACGCTGACAGGAAAAGACAAGCAGACCCATCAAAAAGTGGGCAAAAGACGTGAGAGGAGACACTTCTCAAAAGAAGATGTATGGGCAGCCGACAGACACATGAAAAGTGCTCAGTCTCACTGACCATCAGAGAAATGCAAATCAAAACCACATTGAGATACCACCTAACCCCAGTAAGAATGGCCATCATTAATAAAACAAACAGATGCTGGCGAGGATGCAGAGAAAATGGAACGCTTCTACACTGCTGGTGGGAATGCAAACTAGTGCAACCTCTTTGGAAGACATGTGGCGATTTCTGAAAGAACTAGAAATTGACCTTCCATATGACCCAGCCATTCCCGTATTGGGAATATACCCGGAGGAACTCAAATCATTCTACAAAAAAGATATCTGCACCTGTATGTTTGTTGCAGCTCTATTCACAATGGCAAAAACATGGAACCCACCATGCTGCCCATCGAAGCTGGACTGGATAAAAAAAAGTAGAACATATATACAATATACAATACACAGCCATAAAGAAAGACAAACACATGGACTTCACAGCAACTTGGATGGATTTGGAGTCGATCATATTCAGTGATCTATCACAGAAACAAAGAGCAGAGTACCCTATGCTCTCAGTCATAAGCTGACCCTGAGCAATTATAATACTATAAGAAAGGAATTGGCAGTAAGTGGGAAACTGTCAGGGGAGGAGAGTGGGACTGGCAGTGGAGGGAAACTGCCAGGGGAGGGAGGGACATGCCTCATCAGCAAGGGGACTTGCATAATCAATGTTTGCATACCCAACCCTGAATTGTACTCCACACCTGTATAATAAAAAAGAAAAGAAAAGCATACACAGGTAACCCAGGATCATCAACTGACCGAAGGGTTCCTGCCTGCTGTTTAGGAGAGCCCGGAATGGCTACTGCCTGGGTAACACACAGCGACTATCACCGTCTCCTCCCACTCAGGACACTCCAGAGCGAAAGGACAGTGACTGGAAGTGCACGCAGACACTGCCTGGCAGCGGCGGCTCTTCCCCAGACAGCTGACCTTGACTCTCTTCGGCTGCGGTCCTTCATCATCGACCCAGTGTTCACTTGCTCCAGCACCGATTAGGTTAGCCTCTGAGACTTGCACTGAGAGATTTCTGGTATGATTATAGGGGAGAGAAAGAAGAACGGAGGTTATGCCACAAACTAGCACAGTGGCTCTCAACACTTCTTCCACCAGGACACACTCCTGTAGCTACAGTTCAACTTGGGGGGCCTTGCTTCAGAGAGGTTAGGCAGTATTTTATGTGACATTTCCGAAGCACTCATCCTATCCTTTCCCACTGAGTAAGAGCATACGACAAAAACGTGCCTCAACACATAAGCTGAGCAGCCCTGTGATAATATATGTACGGAGAAGACGCATCCCGTCTCTGTGGTTTTAGTCACTCACGAGGCATATCAGAATCATGGTCAGTGCAATTAAATGTCCAGAGCTCAGCATTTCTTTTTGAAGTTTTGTTTTGTTTTATTTTATTTTATACTCAAGGTCTCCCTCTGTCCCCCTAGGTGGAGTTCAGTGGCATGATTACAGCTCACTGCAGCTTCAAACTCCTGGGCTCAAGTGATCCTCCAGCATCGGCCTCCTGAGTAGCCAGGACTACAAGCACATGCCACCATGTCTGGCTAATTTTTCTAAGAAGGCGACTGGCAGTGGCGGAAAACTGTCAGGGGAAGGGGAGGTGGGACTGGCAGTGGAGGAAAACTGCTGTGGGGCACACCTCATCAACAAGGGGACCTGCATGATCAATGTTTGTATACCTAACCCTGAATTGTACCCCACATCTTTATAATAAATAAATCGTTTTTTTTTAAAAAGAAGGTAAGTAGAATAGATATAAGTGAATGATAAATCTTTTAAGGGACCAGGTACAGTGGCTCAGGCCTGTAATCCCAGTACTTCGGAAACCCAGGTGGGGGACTGTGTGTGCCCAGGAGTCGGAGACCAGCCAGGGCAGCACACCAGAGCTTAGCATTTAAAATGGTGGTCGGACAAGACAGGCTTTCCTATGTGTCCCGACTAGGACCACGCAAAGCGGCTTGCTGGCGATGTCTCTTACTTCAGCCCCACAGCATCCTGTCCCACTGGCTCACGACGCTTATGATTGCTTGCATCTCGGCGAAGGGTGAAACCTTCAGGAAGCCAGAGAGAGCCATGCTTGCGCTTTCGTTTTGCCATAATCACCCCCAGCAGAATAATAAACAAGATGATGACAACAGCAACAGCAAGTAGGTAGAGAAGCTGAGTGCGTTTTGGAGTCACGGAGTCACCTGGAAGTCCAGAGAAACAGGAAAAGTGCTGACTAAAACATCAGCCTCACAAGACCGGCATTACATCCACTTAGAGGGCAACTGTGACTTAACCAAAAATAGGGGGCTGCAAGTTGAAAAGTGTGCCCTGCAGGGAGGCCTTTCCCCCCAACTCTTCCCCTCAACACCAGCGCCACTTACTAAGGACGGACACGAGAGGGTACGACAGGGTCCCCTGGATGGCATGAGAAGCCAGGAGAGCCGCTGCTGCATCTGTGTTCTTGAAGCACTGGTCTGAGTCTTGAACACACTGGCGGTTGTCAATTTCCAGAAAGACCTTAGAGCTGTGGGGGAAGAGGAAGAAAGGAGATGATGGTAAAACAGAAGGGTGCGGGTCAAGCACACCGACTGACAAAGGGCGATGTGAGTAGTACTTCCTCCACTTCAGTACCAGATTCTTCCGGGTTGTTGCCTTCAGAAAGATCTCAGACATTAGGATACTGTCCCTCAGATCTGAAACACCAATTCCCACATAGGGAATGTCTCACCTTCCTTAGTCTAGCTGATCTAACTTTCTGACTAAGGCAATGTATGGCAAAGTGATAAGACTGCTAAGACTGGTCTCCAGGGCTTTCCTCCTGAAGGTTTCTGTGGTTCTTCTTCCACTCTATCCTACCTACTCAGTGGCACTCAGGGTTGTCCTACAAATTCACTCCTGTACATTTTTCATCCTTATTCTCCGTTGTCTTTGCATCTGCCTCTCAGCTAGTTTGAAAATATATCAACAGATAGTGGGATGTGAATGGCAAAGCAACAGAAGATATGCATTATAAAGACAGGGACTTGACAAGAAGGCAATGACTAATACAAAAAGGGAGTCAGCAACAAAGGGACGTGAGGCAACTCTGGCAATAAGTTAGGGACTCTGGCCTCTGAGGAGGCCTTCCCAGCATCCTGTCTCCTGCATGCACCAACCTACCTTTTCAAGACCCCAAGATCAAGCCACACCGTTACCCTTAAACATAAGTCCTGGGATAACGGGTTTGTCTTTAAGTGGGCTATTCTGTTTGTCTGAGCTTTGCATTTTTACAGGTTGAATTATGACTTCTGCTGTGTATCGAAGTCTTCAGCTTCAGAGAATTAACCTTGAAGTTCAAGTTCAAAAACCTACCCCGCCACTTCCTGTTCTTGTTCGCCAGGAAGAGACCTGCGTGCCATCCTCTGCTGCTTCATGGCAGTTGACTTCTCGCCATAATAGGGGTACACCATGAGGTTTCCCTGGGAATCCCGTTTGATACGCAGGTTGGTGTGGAGTAGGGTGCCCAGAGCCCGCAAGAAGCTGCGCGCATCTTGAAGCAGTTGTTTCGGCGGCATCAGCACCACAATAACCAGGGTTCCCTCCGCCAGGTTCTCGGGCTGGTCAGCAGCACAGTCCAGCCCATCCCAGCCACATTCCTCACTGTTGCATCCCTGGTCACAGTGGTTGTCTTTGAAGTGGTCTGCACAGTATTTGTCATACCTAGGTAGGGGAGGGCAGAGAACAGGGAAGGAGGCTTACACCAGACTACAGCTCTGTTGGGTTTTTCACGTGGAACTACTGTGGATTTTGCCGTCCATCTTCTGTGGTCCCCCTCAAGACACAAATGCCCATGAAGCCTTCTCTGCATCTCCAATCCTGGACATCATACGCTATGTAAAGTCTATGCCACTCATCGCTGTTGAGTGCTCCCTGAATGAGGAGCAACACTGTTATCACTTCTGCAGGAGCTTTGGGGCTCCCAGGCAGCTCACCATCTTATTAAGTCAGGTTTTTAAACACAGCTGCACATCTGAAACAAAAGTCAGCCTGGTTCATGTTTCCTCTACTTTGTATCCACTGCTCTTGGTAAGGGAACAATGGGTGTAGGAAGTGAAAGGTGCCTCCAGAAGGTACCTCCAGAAACTAGCCCTGAAGGATCAAGAGTTGCTATACAGGCCAGGCTCGGTGGCTCAGCCTGCAAATTCTAGCGCTTTGGGAGGCTGAGGCGAGTGGATTGCCTGAGCCTGCAGGCAATCGAGACCAGCCCGGGCAACTTGGCGAGACCTTGTCTCTACAGTAAACAAAAAATTAGTCAGGCGTGGTAGCACACGCCTGCAGTTTTGTCTACTTGGGAGGCTGAGACGGAAGGATCGCCAGAGCCCAGCAGGTTGATGCTAGGGTGGCCATGAGTATGCCACTGCACTCCAGCCTGGGCGACAGAGTGAGACTCCAACTCAAAAAAAAAAAAAAAAGAGTTGCTATACAGAAACCATACCAATATGGCCCATTTCTTTCCCTTTCAGGAGTAGACCTTAAGTACAGAAGGTAAGGAGGGATACATCCATAAGGCTGTCAGACCTACCTTGCACCGCTGATTTCAAATACTGGGAAAAGGAATCAAAACCCCTGCACCTAAAAGATGTACAAACCATTTCATCTGTACTTTCCTCTCCTCTTGCCACCATTCTCCACCCCTTGATATTTACACCATTTGGTATAACTTGCTGTGCATGCTAGCTCAACGAAAAGATTAGGAGTCAGGAACTCATGCTTTGGCAAGTCCTTTAACCTCCTAGGCCTGTTTTATCACCTTTGAAAGTTCATTAACAATACCTATGCCTCACAAGGTTGTTGAGAATGAACTGAGGTTAAATTAGATGGAATGGTTAACAGGAAAGTCCCTGTGTAAACCCTAAAGCATCCTATAACTACAACAATATCGCTCATGCATCCTGATAAATCTAGAAGGGAAGGAAAAAATGTCTCAGGGAAAGAAACGGGGTGGAGAGAGAGACATACAGACCTTTCCATCCATCTTGCAGGCAGGTTATGTGAGAGGCTGCCTGAGAGTGGGAAACACCACTGCCAAGAGTTATTTCCCCCTGGAGGTCACAAGAGCAGCAGGTGAGGAGGCAGAGAGAGGCAGAGAGAGAGCGTGATTATGCACGGAGCACTCCTGGCCCTCGTCATCAAGGGAGGGCACAGGGCAGCATGCGACGGGACAAGGTCGGCACCATCTGAAAAGCAGAGGCAGCTTGGGCCGAAGCACTGGAGTGGTTAGCAGCAAGAACCAGAAACCGAGCTGTGTTAGTGGCGGCCCCCTCCGCTTCCGGGGAATCTGGAGCCCTTACTTGCACGTCTTGCTGTCCCCCTGGCATTCAAAGTTGTCAAATAGGCACTCGGCTGTGTTGCACAGCTCATCACACTGGTTGTTGATGTAATCCCAGCAGGGAAGTGGGGAGGTGCAGTTGGCCCAGGGGTTCTCCATGGTGAGGGAACAGTCGCCCCCATCCCACTGGCAGGCATGGCTGTTGCAGGCTTCATCGCAGACACCATCCCGAGCTTTGTCGGCACAATACTGGCTCAGACAGGTGGCAGAAGGGGTGCTGGGGGGGGGCGTGTAGAGTTCACAGCGGCTGCCCCAGAATGGGGCCGAGCACTGGCAAGAGTAATAAGGAGGCTGGCGCTGAGGGTAGCAGCTACCCCCGTGCTGGCAGGGGCTACTGGCACAGCCTGAGTCGCAGTCCCGGGGGCTGGGACAGAAGCAGCGGGGTCCAGAGGCGGTGTGCACACATTGCTCCCCTCGCCGACACTTCACTTGTCCACAGCTGCTCTGGCATCTTGCCCCGGAGAATCCCTGTGGAAATCAGCACATGACTGAGGAGGGCAGGTGGACCTGTGAGGGCTCGCCTCATTTTCCCTCCCAATCCCCTCTCTCCCACACCTCTAGGGGGCTAAAGACTAGACACTTGGTTAAGACCCCTCCATGTAGCCTCCAGGACCAAGTTCCAGGAAAGATCTCTTCAAGTCAACCCATTGGTCAGGGCTGAAGCTTCCATGGCACGAACGTAGAGTTCTCTCACTTGAAGAGCTCACTTGTAGAAATTAAGTCCGCAGGTCATGATGGAATAAAAGTTAAGTGACACTGTACCTACAGGCACCTTTTCTAATCATCATTAGATCACTCATATAATGGTTTTAGGGGAGAAATAGTCATATATAGAGTTTTGGGTTTCCAGAAAACTTCCATTCATCTCACTTCATTCTTATACTTCCTGCTTAGCTCCAGCCAAGGGTACTAGATAGGTTTCCCATACATAAAGATCTGTTTTAGAAAGGCTGAAGCCTCTGGCAGTGGCAAAAGAGTTTTGCACAGCAAATGGCTAAAATTAAGCTTCCTCCTAGTTTAAGAGGCAACTTGCTCCCAAGTAGTCCTTGCTAAAGAATGTAAGCAGAACAGCGTTTCTACTATCTCTGGCCCAAACAGAGACATTAACCCTATTTTCAAGGGAACATTCCATTTCTTGTAGTCTTTCCTTGGTGCTTCTGAAAATTGACAGTCACAGATTGGGAAGCTCTCTGTTCCTGGGAGTATCTAGATAATTTTAAATGGAAAAACCCAAGCACTTTCTACTGCAAGAGCTAAAACCCAGAAATCTCTCCACCACAGAGCTCGATCAAACCAGGCTTAGTCTCAGTTTTGCCACAGATTGTATGGGAAAGGGAATGCCCCTAATACAAGCAGCAGGGAACTTACCGGGGGACAACGGCAAATGAAACCATTGGGCATGTTGCTGGCCACAGCACAAGTTCCTCCATTCAGGCAAGGCATCTGGGGACACACGTCAACGAAGGTTTCACAGTGTCGGCCTCAAAAAATAAAAAGCGGTTTTAAAAAGCAGAAGTAGTCACTGCAAGTTACTGAACAAAACCCTGCTGGGATGGGAATTAGCCACAAACGGAGCAGAGTGTGAGAGTTCGGTTCCAAGCCTAGGGAAATCCGAGCAGAAAACCCTGGGTCTCAACACGATTGGACTGTCACTGGCTCCGGCTGTCTGACCTGCCTCCAACCTGAATCACACACTAGGACACGTGCAAAAAGGGACTCAGATTCCATGAGGAAAAGGAAATCACACTTCAGTTTTTTGAAGGTATGTTAGGTTTCATTAGTTGAAGGATATAGCAAATTGTTCACCACATTCTGTTAACATTGTCAACTTCACAGGATAGGCTACACCAGGCCAATACATAGCTAAATGATGATTTGCAATTTACAGAGAATTTTCATCTGTGATGTCTCATTTAACTCTTTTTTTTTTTTGGCCTTTCTGTAACCAATTGGTATTGTTTTAAAATCCAGCTTAGTTTTCCCAGAGTTAATTTCTTCTAGAAACAGTTCTAAAACACATCTGGAAGACACTGCTCCATGATTTAAAAAAACCCCCAAAAATGAAGTAACTGGAATCATGGAGCGGTCAAAGCGCAACTGGAGACTCTTGGCCAGTGGCAGGAGACGGGCTCTATTTGGTGACCAGTGGTCACTCAGTAAGAAAGAGGTGCCTTAAAAAAATAGTAACATTTCTGGCCAACTGGATTAAGAAGCAGGAGGTACAAATATTTGTCTCTTTAAATCCCAGCAGCAACTACTCACCAAGAACAGTCACAACATGAACACAGGTTCGATGAACCACCGTCCCTTGCTGTGTGTCTCAAGAAGAGCATCTCACAATAACTGCACTCAATGCATTCGAGGGATTTTTTAAAATCCACAAGTGTGGGAAATGCACAAACACTACTTCCTGGCTGTGGGTTACCAATTCAAAGTGGTCTCTGCTCCTTCCTTCTCCTGTTACCCCCTTACTATGCAAGTGCTTGTCGGTGCTTCCAGAGAAAGGAAGCCTCAGAGGCGATGAAAGAAACAGGAGCCAGTTTTGCTCCTTTGACTTCCCAAGCACAGTGTGGCCAGTGCGAGTCACAGATGGATTGTTCATCCTCTCCCTGCCCCACAATGCATCAATAGGTGGATGTTCATGATGGATGATTTCTCTTTTAATATTATTGTCTCCAGGCAACTTCCATGCTACAGAATCCCTCTAGTTCTTTATAAAATGCTAAGACGGTTGAAGGGAGTATATCTTTGAAATTGGAAGGAAAGAGGGTGGAAAGGCGGGCTCAGGATGTAGTGGAGTTCAGACTGACAAATTAGTAGTGAATAGCCTGTTCTCCGATTCCCAGAGAACCTAATCACCTCTCCAGCATAGGAACTACAATTACAGACCCCAGAAAATGCATGACAGATTTTCAGATCTGAGAACGCTGCCAAATTCCAATGCAAGCAACTCTTTTAGTTCCCAACACTGCCCCACTCCAAAAGCGACTAGCAAGTGCCTGGGATCAAGCCTCACACCAAGGCAGGACTTGGTCATCTTCATGGGATGAAAGCAAGACGCTGGAGCCCGGCCAGGCCTTGGCCGTGACTACTGCCGCTTTAACGTGCGTGCTCTCATCACTCGATTTGTGGTTAAACACTCCGCGGTTTGGGTCTGGGGTCGGTCCTGGAGCCCGGTCTGCTCACCACAATAGTGCGCAGACTCCAAGGCAGGGTGGCCAAGAGGCTGGAGAGGTGCTCACCAGTGAAGGCGCTGCGGCAGACACACTGGTAGTCGTTGCTGAGCTGTATGCAGTCCAGGCTGCCCTCAGGGCTGCAGGGGTTGGAGAGGCATTCGTTGATGTCCCCCTCACACCGCTCCCCAGCAAAGCCAGGCAAGCACTGACAACTGTAGCCCCCAATCCTGTCCACACAGTGACCGCCATTAAGGCAACGGGGGCCCCCGGTGCAGTCGTCAATGTTCTCTTCACAAAGCAGGCCTGGAGAAGAGAGGAGAGACACAGAACCAGGAGGACACTTGAAACACGGCTTTCCAGCGAGGAACAGCTGCCCACGCTGGCCCTTTCGCAGCTCACCAAACTACACTCCTCAGCCTGGAGAGGGATCTCTTCGGTTGGGCATGCAAGGAGCACTCTTGACCTAGGGCTGCAGCCGTCCTTCTGATACGCAGCACGAGCAAAGGAAAGAAATGTTTGGGCTTCACAGGTGCTCTCCAACACAGTCCAGTGAAGTGGAGCCCTCTGGGGCAGGTGCTTTTACTTGTCTCATCTCAAAGATAGGAAACTGGAGCTCAAGAGAGACTCCATAACTATTCATCAATTCATGCATTTTAATTAAAAATACAAAAACCGTTCAAAAAAGAAGATAATGATGTTGGGGTCAAAGACAGACCACATATATGACAGGAGTCTCATAAGACTATAATGGAGCTGAAAAATTCCTACTGCCTAGTGATATCAGAGCATTGTCATGACATGGTGCAATTACTTTAATTTTTAATAAATTTGGTCTGGCCTAGGTGTATAGTGCTTACAGAGTCTACAGCAGTGTACAGTAACGCCCTAGGCCTTCACATTCACTCTCATTCACTCACTGTCTCACCCAGAGCAACTTCCAGCCCTGTAAGCTCCTTTCATGATAAGGGCTCTATACAGTCGCACCATTTTAAAATCTTTTGTATCACATTTTTACTGTATCTTTTCTAAGTAGATACATAAATTCTTAACTTGTGTCATAATTGCCTATAGAATTCAGTGCAGTAACATGCTGTACAGGTTTGTAGACTAGGAGTGACAGGCTATACCATATAGCCTGGCTGTAGACTCTGTCTGTCTATCTATATCTGTCTGTCTGTCCATCTACCTATCTATTTATCTATCTATCTATCTGTCCATCCATCCATCTAGGTTTGTGTAATTACACTCTGTGGTGATCACACACACCTAAAGACACATTTCCCAAAACATATTCCCAATGTTAAGTGACACATGGCTGTACACAGATTATAGCTATGTAAAAATATCGGTAAGAATTGGAACTGCATTTGTATACTTAAGACTGAATTGTACCCCACATCTTTAAAATTAAAAATTAAAAAAAAAAAAAGAATTGGAACTGAATTTTGAATGATATGTTTTTAAGTTTTATAATCACTGATTTTTTTCTGTAAAACAGTATAAGCGCACTAATGTATTTTATTTAAAAGTATACAGAGAAAATATCTTGCTGAAAATCAAAGGTTATTCCATTTAAAACAACTCATTTAATGTACTGTAGATATAAATGAGCCAACTAATATGAATTATCAGTAAACATTTTTAGAAACAAAAGAAATCAATGATTATTCTAGATATTACGCTATGAGTAATTCAAAAACTTACTAAAGAAAATCGTTCTGTATTTCTGTTATTTACATCTGTAGTATATACTAACAAAAATAATACTATTACAAATAAAAAGCAATGTAAGGTAAGGCCCCATTTTTAAAAGCAATTACAAAAGATAAAAAAACTAGAAATAATCTTTTTAAAAAAATAATCTCAAGAAGAAGTATGCTACACTATAAGAAGATAAGTTTAAAATTATCCTGACAGACATAGAGGAGACCTGAATAAATAGAAAGATATAACATGATTTGGTGTGAAAGACTCATCATCATAAAGATGTCTGTTTAATGAGACTCCAATAAAAAATACCAAAAGGAGTTTATTAATAGATAAGCTGATTTTAAAATTATGCGAGAAAATTAACTGTAAACATAACCACTAAAACCATGAAGAATATCCTTAATAATTAAAATAAGGTGTTACTGGTGAATTAATAGCACAACAGAACAAAAAAGACAGTCCAAAAGAACATGCAAATACACATGGAAATTTAGAATTTTATAAAGGTGCCATCTCAAGTCATTGTATAAAAGATAAAACATGCAGTAAATTGTGTATAAACAAATCAGTAGCCATATGGAAAAAGTGCTCTAGTATTTTAGTACTTGGATAAAATATGGAAGAATCTGTAACCTTAGAGTATATAAGATGTTGCTTACTAAAACTCAAAATCCAGAGGTCATTAAAAAAATTGACAAATTCAACCTGATTAAAAAGAAAAAGTCTGCATTAAAAAAATCACCATAAAGGAAATCAAAAGATAAAAACAACATGTTGGGAAAATATTTGCATTTTCTATCATAGCTAATTTCTATAAAATATTAAAATCAACAACATAATGAAAAAAAGAGCACAGACATAAACAGAGAAACCTTAGGAAAAGAAAAACCAAATGATTCTTAGATAAGAATATGTTCATTCACATCGAGAAGATAGTATGCTGACACATTGCAATTCAGTAATATCAATTAAAATTATACGTAGCCATATTATCCAATCCAGAGATTCTATTTCTGAAAATGAATGCTACCAATACTCTTCTGCATATTCAAGACAACCCAAATGTCCATCATAAAGCCACTGGCTAAGTAAAAATATGACCTGCCTGTAAAAGGGAATTCTGCAGCTGTTAAAAAAAGATTCAGGAAGTTCTATACTGAATTTTGATTGGAAATATCTCCAATTAAATAAAAATTTAAAAGTGCAAAGAATATGTCCAATTATCTGCCGAATGAAAAGTAGGGGAAATAAAAATCTTTGTCTTTGGCCTCTATATGCATAAAGAAATTTTGAATGCTACATTAAAAAAAAAAACTGTAGAACGATACACAGGACACTAAAAGTGGAAGTTACCTGTTTGTAACCAAGAGGTAGGATTTGTTGCTAGGGAAGTGAAATGGGAATGGGAAGGAGTCTTTTCACTGTATGCTTTTCTATGTGTGCGTGAATAAATTTTTGGTCTATGTGCATATATGCATACATTACCTTTTAACTATGTACAGGTGAAATAAAAAATAAGATAGTAAAAACAAAACCAGTACAAGCTCCCACTCTCAAAGAATATTCGATATTTAGGGACTGCTAGTAAAATTAGAATAAATGTCTATCTTCCCATTAGAATGGAACCATCAGTAATAAACAGACCTATCAGTGGGAAATAACTCAATTTCAGTCTGAAGGAAAGTAGTAGGGATGACCAGAACTGTTACAATTAGCCCTTGACCTGGAGAATTGCAGGGATACCCAGGTCAAGATCTAAAGCTCAGCTGTATAATGACAAAAGCATTGTGTTGACTCTCACAGTGAAGTTATGGAAATTCAGAGCTTTCTGGAATATTCACCAATAGCCAGAGAACTTAAGCCAGGATAAATACAGTTCCACATACCTAAACAAGCACACATGGCAAAATAAACCAAAGGAGTAAAGAGGCAACTCACAGAATTGGAAAAAAAATTCTGCAAATTATGCATCTGACAAAGCCCTAACATCCAGAATCTACAAAGAACTCAAATGAAGTGAAAGAAAGAAAAACAAACAAACAAACAACCCCATTAAAAAGTGGGCGCAGAAGTGAGGGCCACCTGGAAGACCAAGCTTCACCTGCACGCAGCCTATTTATGAAGTTAATCCTCATTTGTACCCCACATATCTATAATAAAATTAAGTTAAAACAAAAAATAAAAATAAATAAAAATAAAAGTGGGTGCAAAGGACATGAACAGATACTTCTCAAAAGATGATATAAAAGTAGCCAACAGGCACAAGAAAAAACGCTCAGCCTCACTAATCATCAGAGAAATGCAAATCAAAACCACAGTGAGTTAACACCTAACTCTGGTAAGGATGGCTATCATTAACAAGTCAAAAAACAATAGGTGCTGGTGTGACTGCGGAGAGAAGGGAATGCTTCCACACTGTTGGTGGGAATGGAAGCTAGTTCAGCCTCTATGAAAGCGGTGGGGTGATTCCTAAAAGAACTAAAGATTGATCTGCCACGTGATCTAGCAATCCCTCTCCTGGGGATATACTTGGAGGAACATAAATCGTTCTACCAAATAGACATCTGCATGTGCATGTTTATTGCTGCATCATTCACAATGGCAAAAACATGGAACCAATCCGGTTGCCCACTGAAAGTGAACAGGATAAGGAAAATGTGATACATATACACGATGGAGTGTTACAGAGCCATAAAGAACAAAAGCATGGCCTTGCAGCAACTTGGATTCAGATGGAGACCAAAATACTAAGTGAACCATCACAGAAACAAAGAACTGAATATTGCAAGTTCTTACTCCTAAGTGGGCCCTGATCACTAGTCACATTAGCACAAGGGTGGGGTCGGCAGTTGCTGGGCACTGCAGGGTGGGGACACGCAAAAACACAGAAGGGTAACTGGTCCACTATCGGGAGTGAGGGCCACCTAGAAGCCCCAAATCACCGGCATACAGCCTATTTATGTAGTGGATCCTCACTTGTAGCCCCATAACGCTAAAATAAATAAATAAATAAATAAATAATAGACTGTCAAGGATAATAGCCAAACTACTATTCTAAGCCACAAATGGTTAGAAGAGACAGAAACTTTGTTGCCTTGTGAAATGACCTATTCTAAGACTGGACATATCTAATTAATAAAAAGTTTATGATACAGCAGACAAGTTAAAGTTTGATGAATATCTATGTACTCTCCCCACATTTCTCAGCCTTTTGTAAAGTCTGTTGGAGACCATTTAATAATTCTGTCCAATATACTGGAGTGATAGTGATGCATGTCGCTTCTAGATTGAGCTGGTGAAAGTTGTGGCATGACCCTGCAAGTCTGTCTCTCTTCTCCTGCTGTGGAGGCCTTAGAGATCAAGTATTTCAAAGGACACATCTAAAACACAGAACAAGGTAGTCAGACACAAATGTCCGACTCTATTTGAGTGACAAAAATCACAGTTGTGTTAAGCTCTAAGATTTGAGGTTTAATCCACTGCTCTAGTTTGGATGGTTGAATGGCTTGTTGCCACCCTCAAAGGAATGAGCTCTTGCTCTGATAATTCTCTTGAGAGCTGCCTGCTCAAAAGAGTCTGGTATTTCCTCTCTCTCTCTCTCTCTCTCTTGCTTCCTCCCTCGCCATGTGATCTTTGCACACACTGGCTCCTCTTTGTCTCTGACCATGAGTGGAAGTGGCCTGAAGCCCTCACCCAAGCAGGTGCTGGGGTCAAGCTTCTTGTACAGCCCACAGAAAGATGACTCAATCTAATGTTTTTAATAAATTACCCAGTCTCAGATATTCCTTTATAGCAACAAAACAAACTAGGACATTAGCTACCGGCAGAATTGTACCTTGTCCTAACCAGTAGAATTAATCAAAGGAACTAATAATGAATTGGAATTAGTTTCTACTTCTCGTTCAATCACTGATTTCTAGAATAGAGAACAATTCTCCTGTATATGAAAAAAATCTTCAAATATTTAAAGGCTCTTTCTCCTTAGTTTTATCTTCCCTTTTAACCCCATTCCTCAATAACTTGCATGCTGCTAGAATACTCTTCTATTTTAATATAGCCAAACTCTTATCTCTAGGAAGGTAAATTATCAAAAGTCACTGACAGAAAGATTTACAACAATACAAACACTTCTCTGACATTCTATTGTCTTTCACCCCGAGAAGAATGAATTTATCACTACTGTGGATGGCCTTTAACATTTTTTCCCACAGGTTGCTCAGAACTAGATCTCTTCCAACAAACAATATTCAAAGCTCTTTCCAGAGGATGGCTTGGAGGCAGTGGCAATGCCCATAGCAGAACTATGGCCTTACCATTCACACAGTCTAGGGTTGCATCTCATCAGCCCTTACTGCAATTCTCAAAATAGAGCCTTAGGACATCAGTCGCTTCCCATGGGCTTATGAAAGTAGGCACATATTTTTATTTCATTAATTCTCCCACATTACAGAAGCAAGACTTGTCTAGTTTACAAAACACAAAAGCAGGCAAATGCAAGTTATTTATTCAAGAGGCCACCAGTTGCCTTCCCTTGAAACACCAAGAAACATTGCTGACCAGGCTAATTCCGTTATAACACTTTTATCGATTCCACATTCTGTGTTTCATGGAACAGAAAATGTCAAACAAACAGACAGAATCAAGAACACAGATCAGAACATCAAAGCTAGAAAAAGACGAGAAAATAAAGTATCTTGAATTACCAAGAAGCCAAACTAAATGCTTGGACTAAAGCTAGTCTTACTATCTTTAACTTTTAAAAATCTTCTCAACACTAAGCATGGGGTTTATAACTTAGAAAATGCCCTGGCTGGAGAATGAATAAAGATGGTTTCATACCCCGAGTGCCTGGCGGACAAGAGCACTTGAAATGGTTCACCAGGTCGATACAAGTGCCTCCATTCTGACAGGGCTGGTTCTGGCACTCATCTACTTCGTACTCGCAGTTAACACCCTGATAGCCTGGAACACACTGCCAGGAAAAGCAAAAAAGATGAGAAATATTAGACCGTCATTGGAAACAGACCAGGAGAGCAAGTGAGACCCAGAACATTGCTGTGACCCTCTCCCACCTCCCCTCTTAGCTTTCGTATGGTTCTCTGGAATCACCATACTTTGCCAATCATCCTGTGTAGGGACAGCTTGCAGCTTAAAGGAACTTACCTATTCCTCTTTCAGTAGAAAAAAGTCACTTGAAAAGGAAGGCAAGGGCTGAATGTTCTGAGGAGCATTTTAGAGATGACTCCTGCCCAAAACTTTCATCCCTCCTGTGTACAGGCTCCCTTCTCTCGCCTTCTATTTATTTATTTATTTTTTTTTTTGAGACAGGGTCTCTCTTTCATGCAGACTGGAGTGCAGTGACATGATCCTGGCTCAGCTTCATCCTTCTGGACTCAAGGGATCTTCCTGTCTCAGCCTCCCAAGTAGTTGGGACTACAGGCACATGCCACCATGCCTGGCTAATTCTTCAATTTTTTTGTAGACATGAGGTCTCACTATGTTGCCTAGTGAACTCCTGGGCCATAGGATCCTCTTGCCTTGGCCTCCCAAAGTGCTGGATTACAGGTGTGAGCTGCTGCACCCAGCTAAGTTTTCCTATCTTTAAAATATGCATTCCTTTATATGTGACCCTGTCACTAACCCTATAACTCAGCCAGTCAAAAGGTATGTGTGGATGGTGGTGATCTCCAGGTTCAGAAAGCTGCATAGATGTATAAGAAACTGGCTGAGCTAGGGTGAGGACAGAGGGAGATAGGACTGGCTGGTTGTGGTTGATATAGGGTTTGGAAGGATCTCAGGGCTGATCAAGACAAAAGACACTACTATGAGGCGACTTCATTTGGGCGACATGTTGTCAGGTTTGCACATGGGGGAAGTTTCTCATAGCACACGATCTTCTAGAGGGATGGAGCATAAGAAAATAGCAAGTCAACTCTCAGAGAGAGGAGGACTCAGAGACAGAACTTAGAAGTCTAGGTGATGTCACTCCGCAGCCCGGGGCAGGGGTCACTGAGTCGGAGAGCTCCAAAAGGCAGCATCAGTCCCGGAGTTATCTTATCCAACAGCCTACGGCTAGCTGATGTTGGCTGCAGTTTTGTAGGACACGCATGGCAGGCGAGCTCCAAATGGCTGAACATCTGCTTATTTGGGGGCTACGGTGAAGACAGCCGAATGTCTAAAAATCTGGATTTGGCACTGACATGTCTGGGGGCTAAGGGCTCTTGCTCGCCTTGAAGAAATATGCAACCGAGGGTTAAAAATGCAAAGGCTGGCTTTGGCTCATTTGTCTAACAGTAGTGAAGCAAAGCTTTTCTCAGTGCTGCTTAATGGTCTGAATTGGCATCAAATTCATGCTTGTGGTGTTTTTTTCAATATCTTGCTCTAATTATCATCAGCCAAACACTAAGAAGATGTGACATGTCCTGTAAAGACACATACCTCCTCAAACATATACATGTAGCGCTTAGCATGGTGCTAAGGGAAACAGAGTGTGCAACATTTTTTTTTTGAGAGAATTATTAGTTGATGGATCAATGACTATAGACAAAGGTGACGTGGGCCAAAGGGACACCTGTCAAAGTGGCTTCTCCCATCTCAGCTGCTATTTAGGGAAGTGCCAGGGACCACAGTGCTGGATGAGCCTGTAAAATGTACTCTGGTAGTGACTGTTGGCTCCAAATCCTAGAAGCAGTCCTGAGGAGGTGGGGTGGTTCCAGATCTGCATAAAATATCTTACTAGGGTCATGCCAACTTATTGCATAGGGAGGCTAAAAGAAACAGTGATCGGTAAAAACTATGATGGTGACTGAAAAAAATCTATAAACTGTAAACGTAAGACACCAGCAGCCACATTCGATAGACCAGTGCTCACAACAGTTGCACAATCTCCTGGGAGGTCTCCGATCCCTGTTCGCTCGACATCCTCACCTCACATCTGTATCCACCAATGAAGTCACTGCAGGTGGCCCCATGCTGGCAGGGGTTGGACGCACACTCATCGAGCTGCTCCTCACAGTAGCTCCCGGTATAGCCCAAAGGACACTGGCAGTGATGCGTGTTGCCAGCACTGATGCAGAGGCCAGAGTGCTGGCACAAGTGGTCAACGGGCACACCTGGGAAGCCCAGTGAGGAAGAAATGTCACACAAAAGCACATGACACACGTGGGGTTCAGACCAACTAATGAGCAAATGAATCTAACCTAGCCCACAAGTCAAATTTTATTCTTGTTTGGCTCTTCACGATCCTCAGCACCAGATTTATATTAGAAACAAAGCCTGAAAACTGCGTATGACTTGGTTTCATCTCAAATGTATTTCTTTTGTGGAACCTCCGAACCTGTTCCTCTACCATTTTACCTTCTGTCTTGGCCATTTCTCCAGAGCCTCGTTCACTCCCTACTGTCTGCCCCTCCCTTTTACACCACAGTTAAGGACAGCTGCCTGAAATGCCACTGGTTAGTCAGCACTTCAGCCAAGGACACCTGAGCCCAAGGGGGCCAAGCTCACCTCTGAGGGCGGCTGCCACATCACAGGAGACACTGGGCACATCGCAGTAAGCACCAGCCCATCCCGACGGACACACACACCGGGACTCGGCTTTTTCCTGAACGCAAGTGCCTTTGTTTTTACATGGAGACAGGCTGCAGAGGTTCACCAGGGTCTGAAACAGAGGCAGCCATGCAAACACATCAATACACAAATACTAGAAAGGAAGAAAATAGTTACACTCTGTTAGAAAAGATCAAAGGAAAACACAGTAAGTAGTTTTGTTTAAAAAAGAGCCCTTACCCAAGACTTAAACTAGACCCAGTGGACTGAGTACATCTAGTAAGTTTTATATATAATAAGTCCTCACCTAATGTCATCAATAGGTTCTTGAAAACTGTGCCTTTAAGCGAAACCACATATAACAAAACCAGTTTTACCACAGACTAATTGATATAAACAAGAGTTAAGTTTCCTCACGTATTTCTGGTCACAAAAACATCATGAAACTTCTAAGTAAAGTTTAATATTAAACATTTATATTAAGTTATTCAACATTAAATATTATAAGGTCATAATAGTAAACATTTCAATTAAACACTGAAATAAACATGAGCTATGCATATATTTAAGAAAGATTAATTAAAATAAGTAAGATAATTATTTACCAAATTTTTGGTGAATCAGTGAGTGACGGTGGTTATAGTGGTAGTGAGCTGAGTTAAGGAATGTTTGCAAAGCAAAACTTTTAAGGAGCACCACCCTACAAAAGCACCATCACACAGTTCAAAAAAAAATAACCGATTTGGTAAGTTTGCTGAGCTCTTTTGTACTGTATTGCTTATTGTTGTGTATATGTATGATGATCACAGAATTTACACATTTTTATTTTACAGTAATTTATGTATTCATTCATTTTCTAACCTTCTTATTCCAGGTCAGGGTCAGACACACTCACTCAGACTGGGACAATTTAGACATACCAGTCCACCTAATGTGCATGTTTGGGATGTTTTGCTGTTTGGGATGCAGGAGGAAACCGGAGTGCTGGGAGAAAATTCAAACAGACATGGGGAGAATGGTGCAAACTCTACCCAGACTGTGGTCCTGGCTGGGAATCAATTTTTTTCCTCATCATCATAAAAAAATGAAACTGAACAAAATGCCACTGATTGTTATTTAAAATTAGACTACTTGCTGTAGTCTAATTCCTGTTAGCTCTGCTCTGCTATTTGCTATTTGCAAGTTCTTACCACAGATGTTTAAGAATTAGAGGAAGCCCAATAGGTTGTTATTCCCAATGCTCTAGACATGATCATGTCTACATAGATGGCCACCATGTAGGGCTAGGAAGAACGAGCTAAAGCTGTTAGATAGGTTTGTACACCCTTTGCTAAAAGGTCTTGACCAAATATAACTGTGTAAACTTGGGTAAAAGGACTTAAAGCCTGTTAATATATCTAAAACTGTTACAGAGCTGATTTCAAAGAAGAGACAGTCATGCTTATGAAAATTGAGGCAAAGAATGTAAGAAAATTGCACTTTTCATCTTTTTAATTCGCATGAAGTGATTTGGCCCCCAGAGGAGAGGAAGGCCACATGCACAGTAGAGACTGTTTGTGGGCGGAAGTGGGGAGTGCCTTACAAGCACTTCCAGTCCGCACTGTGAGAATTAGTAGGAAGCTAACAAAGAATGCTCTCCTGATCCACAGAATCAGCAACAAGCTGCTTAGCATGTGGAGGTAGGTATATACATGTCCAATATAGCCAAAGGTTTACTGAAGCTTGCCCTATAAGCCAAAGGAAATTTTGTCATTTATTTGAACATTCTTTGGTGAAATAGCATAAAATTAAACACGACACAGTTTGGTATGCAACCCTGGAAAAAAGTTACTTTGCCTTTCTGGGGCTGCTGCTTCTTCCATGAAATGAAAGATTAGACTGGTTGCCTGTGAGGTCTCCTTCCATCCTAAGATCCTATGAAAATGTACATTTATATATTTGAATTTAAAAGACATGTAAATACTTTGAGAATGTTACAGCACTGCAAGGGATGATAATCATCATTATTATCCCCTTAGATGCTGCATCTGATTTTCAAGATTTTAATTTTGATCATTTTCTCCCTTTGTGTATTTCCAATGTCAGAGATATCTATGTGCTTATTTCCCATACCTATTTTTCTGCAGTTCTTGGTTAGTCTCTTATAACAATCTTGTATTTGTTAATCCATATCACATTGCCAGTATCACCATTTTGGAATCTAACAGCTATTAAGAAGTTACTCAGATTCATTTTAGGGACACCCCTAAGGCCCACAATTTTCTCTTTTAGAAAGAGCTCATTCGGCCTAGCAAGTGAACAGGTGTAATACTCAGCTGCTCTGGGGGAGTGGATGAAGGGGCAGGAAGTCACTTACCTGACAGTTCTTTCCTGTGTAGCCCACGGGGCAGGTGCAGTGGTAGGTACCCAGGCCATCAACACATGTTCCCTCATTCAGGCATGGATGAGAGTTGCATTCATTGATCTCATGAAGGCAGAAAGGACCAGTGAATCCCACAGGGCACAAGCAAGAGAAGGCATTAATCCCGTCAACACAGGTGCCACCATTGAAACAGGAGCTAAGGAGCAAACAGAGTGAGCAACATCAACTACATATTTGATTCCTTTGACCCGTTATTTGGAAAGTAAGGTTTCCAGAATAAAAAATGCTACAGAGGCCAATATCCCTGAGCACACCAAACTCCTACATCCAGTAACCTTTCTTCCAAGCTAGACTGAATGCCAGAAGCCTTGAGGTGCCAACTCCCTTCTACAACCAAAAGGCTTAGACGTATTTAAAGACTTACTATAGATTCCTAGAGATTGTAAACTTTTCCAAGTTTTACCTCATCTTTCTGTGGTTTTCTATGTACCATATTTCATTTTATCCCTAAGTCAATTTAATTGATATAAAAATGGTAAATAAATAGCTCTTCAGACTATATTTCTTTACGAAAGAGAAATAGAGCAAACACATTCATAATATAATAAAAAGAAATTACTTAAAGAGTAGTAACAAATCTGCAGAGAAATATTTTTAGATCAATTGTCAGTTGAAATGAACAAGAGATCAAAAGTAGAACAGAGCAGAATTGCAGCTCTTTCTGCTACCTAGGTAAGAGATAAATGATGATTCATCCACTAAGCTTTCCAAACTTTGACTTTGACCTTCTAACTATATGTCTATCAGAAATCAGAAGCTGGGCAACAGGAGATGATTGTGGAGAGGGACCCAAGTGGGTGTCTCATTCCCGCTCCACAATCCTAGCATTGTGCTCTGAAGTTTCCTCCCCTTTCCCCCTTTTTCTCCTAAGACATTGGTGCCCGAGTGATTGGCTGCTCACCTCTCAGTGCACTCATCAATGTTGTTCTCACAGTGGACTCCGTCAAATCCTGCCTGACACTTGCAAGTGTAGCTGTTGACATAGTCGGAACAGGTCCCTCCATTCTTACAGGGTTCACTCAGACACTCGTTCATATCTGTCTGGCACTTATCCCCAGTGAATCCCGGAAGGCAGAGGCAGGAGAAAGTATTCACTCCATCCACACAGGTACCTCCATTCTGGCAAGGATCTAAGCCATTACACAAGAATTAGAGCTAGGAACAGCAGCATGAATTTAATCTTAGACTCATACCGGTGAATGACCTGAACTAAGTCACACTAGGAGCAGCACAATTATTTTTTGTACTTGACCTCTTTATGTCGATTTGTCCTGACTCCTCCATTCATAAATATGAATTCAATAACATTTGCTTGAGAATTTAAACCCATTTGATAACTAGAATAAACCTTATTTATATCACCACTAACAGTTTTGCAAAAATAATAGTCATAAAACTTGCATGGTTTCCCCACACATTAGCAAATCAAATAGTGTACCAAAACATAGGATGTCAGGCATATCAATTAATATTTTCAGCAGGTATATGTGATGGTGGCATGTCTGGGGGAGAAAGATATATATACATATATTTATATAACATATATATAAATGAATACATATATTCATTTCATTCCAGGCTCATTATATAAATTAATCCTCTCTGTTTTACATTTAGGTAGCTATAGGAAGGAAAGTTTTTTTTAAATTTTAAGTATCACATGGCTTGATATTAGAAAACTATGTACTCATAGTAACTAACCAACAAATTCTGAGCTACAAAAATGACATGGTTCTCCACAACACGGACAGTAGACAAATCAGAACAACAACAACAAAACACACACAAAAACAAAAAACAAGATGCAGCTACTGCTTTTTTTTTTTTTTTTCTGTTGGAATCTTACCCATCACCCAGGCTGGAGTGCAGTGGCACACTCACAGCCTCCCCAGCGTCAACCTGCTGGACTCAGGCTATCCCTCCACCTCAGCCTTCCAAGTAGCCAGAAATACACCCGGCTAAATTTTGATTTTTGTAGAGATGAGGTCTTGCCAAGTTGCCCAGGCTGGTCTCGAACCTGTGGGCTCAGGCAGTCCTCTCACCTTGGCCTCCCAAAGTGCTGGGATTACAGGCTTGAGCCACTGTGCTGGGCCAGCTACTGCTCTTAAGGACTTTAAAATGTAATTGCAAAGATAGGTCATACACAAAAAGAAAACTAAACATTAAATTAAAGAGCAATGCAACCCCTATTTTATTACAGGGATATTTAATATCCCTCCAATTCCTTTCTAAGGTTCATCTATAGTCTCTATTACAGCAACTGTAAAATTATTTTATTCCTTCTCAACCAGCTACTATAATTTCTACAGTCTCTTTCAGGTAACTCATCATCCATAGTTTATCAAATTGTTTTAAACTCATTGTAAATATTGCTGGCCCTACTTCATACAGAAAAAAATTTGAAACACTAAATATTTTGACGGGCATATTAATCACTGTGAGAAAGGAATCCAGAGAGCTTGATTTCACACCCAAATGTTCTCCATCAACTTTACGACAGACATATGCTTTCCACTGTTTATCACAGTGTTAAAGTTATCTGCCCACTTGTTTTTCCTCCCTAACAGACCATGAACTCCATGAATGTAAGGACTAGGCCTTATTTATCTCATCGCTGCCCGCACCTAGATGGAGGCCTCTGTATGATTGCCTGAAATTACGTATGCTGTGAATTAAGGTGCCATTATTCTTTTTTCTTTTTTGAGTTGGAGTCTCACTCTGTCACCCAGATTGGAGTGCAGTGGCCGCTCCCAGCCACTGCAGCCTAGACCTGCTGGGCTCTGGCGATCCTTCCGCCTCACCTCCCAATAACTGGAAATACAGGCGCGCGCTACCACGCCTGGCTGATTTTTTGAATTATTGTAGAGATGAGGTCTCGCCAAGTTGCCCAGGCGGGTCTCGAACCCGCGGGCTCAGGCCATCCACTCACCTCAGCCTCCCAGAGCACAGGATTACAGGCTGAGCCACCGAGCCTGGCTGGTGCCATTATTCTTAATGCATTGTGATGACATCATTTGGAGTACTTAATCACTATATAAGTAACCAAGGACTGATCAGTATATACATATGATGCAACTATTAAGGTTGTGGGAAGAACTACCAGAAAAAGTCGGTAGAATAATCCTTAGGGTTTTTACTGGGCTAGCTCATGTTCATTCAACCAGAATAAAAAAACTACATGTGGCATTGAGTGGAGTCCTAAGAGACTACGTACGGGCTTAGTAGTGAGTCATATTAAGTCCTAGACTAAAGACTGTTCTGAATCCATTTAACAAATCTTGAAGTAAAGATTCCAAAGGATTAAACTATTTCCAAATAACTGAATCCCTGGACAAAGTTTAAAAAGTATTTTAAATTTTTTAAAATTCAGCATGGAAGAATACAAAACTGACAATGTCTAGCATCCAATCAAAAATTACCAGGCAGTCAAAGAAGCAGGAAACACAACACATAATAAGTAGAAAAATTATGAGTAAGAACACACCTAGGAATTTCCGATATGGTAGAATAGTAGATAAGGACAATAAAATAACTACTGTCAACTATAAAACAACTACGCATGTTCAAGAATGAAATAAAAGCACGAACATGAAAAGAGAGAGATAAAGTTATAAGAAAGACTCAAACCAAACTTCTAGATATAAAAATATAATATCTGAGGAAAAAATAAACTATATAGGATTAACAATAAAGAGGACATTATAGGAAAACTATTAGTGAATTTGAAAATATAACAAGATATCTTCAACTAACAAAATAATCTAAAATGGCAAGAAGGAAAAAAAAAAGCCCCAAAATCTAAAAAATAAAATAAAAAACCTGGTAAACAGACAACTGCAAGGAGCCTTGTACAGTGAAAGCATTAAATGGAGGAGATAAATTTTTTTTAAAATCGTTAAATATTTTCCAAATAATGGTTGAATATTTTCCAAATGGATGCACACACCCCCCAAAAATCAGTGAACCCTAAACAGAAGAAACATAAAGAACATTACACCAACAGATATCGTAATCAAGCTGCTAAAAATCAGCAGACAGTATCTTAAAAGCAGCCACAGGAAAGAAAATTATACATAAAAAAAAAGAATTGCAGCAGATTTCTCCTCACAAATAATGCAAGCTAGAAGACAACAGGATAGCTTTAAAGTGCAGAAGGGGAAAGTCAATGTAGAACTCCATTCCCTGCAAAAACATCTTTGAAACTAAATCAAAATAAAAACCCTTCAGACACACAAAAACAGAAAGAATTCATCACAAGAAAACAAGATCTACACAAAATAGTAAAGGAATTTCTTCAGAGGGAAAATGATACCTCACCGCAATGCAAAGCTATACAAAAGAAAAACAATCAGGAATTGTAAAGATATGGGTAACTATGAAGACTTAAATTATTTTCCAAATTTCTTGAAAAAGTAATTGACCATTTAAAGCAAAAATAATATATTTAAGAGGTTTAATGATAAATAAATTTTATAACAACAATAGAACAGATGCCAGGAGGAATGTAACTGATAAGTGTGTTGTTATAAGCCTCTTATACTCCATATGAAGTGGTATAACTGAAGGTAGAGTATAGTAAGTTGAAGTTGCATACTGTAAAGCCTACAATAACCACTAAAAAAAAATAAAAGCAATATACCAGTGAAGAAATAAAATGTAATAATAAATAATCCTCAATTGTCCCAAAAGATGGCAGAAGAGGAAAACAGAAACAAAAATAGAAAGAACAAAGCTCAAGCAAATAGCAAGATGGCAATTTTTGAACCCAAAATTTCATATCAAAAACCACATTAAATTTAAATAGTCTAAACACCTTAATTAAAAGACAGATATTGCCACATTGGAGAAAAAAGGTAAGATCCAATGCATGCTCTCTACAAGAAACCAGTATGAGAGACTAAGGATAAAAATAAAAAGAGGGAAAAAAAAACACACCCTAATGATAATCAAAATAAAGCTAGAGTAGCTATATCACTATCAGGCAAAGTAAACTTCAGACAAAGGAATATGACAAGGGTTCATAAAAAGGCCATTTTGTAATGATAAAAGGTTCAATTCTTCAAGAAGACAAAACAGTCCCATGCAGGGTGGAAAAAAAATAAAAGGCATGAAGATTGTCTTTATTTATAGATAACATAATTGTCTCTGTGGAAAATCCTAAGACTCTAAACTAACCTATAAGTTAACCTAGGAACCTAGAACTATAGTTTATTACAGTTACAAAAAAATTACACTGTCGTTTTACTCACACTATATGTAAAAATTAATTACATTACAATGTAAAAAAATTACATTGTCTTTTAACTCATACTATATGTAAAAATTAATTCAAAATAGATCATAGACCTAAAAATAAAAGGTAAAAGTATAAAACTTTTAGAAGAAATCATAGGAGACAAACTTTGATGGAGGGTTAGGATTAGGTAAAGATCTGTTAAACAGATACATGAAGCATGGACTATAATAGAAAACATTAGCACACAAGGTTTCACCAATATTCCGATCTTCCTCTTCAAAAGAAAAACAAAAGAGAAGCTATAAAGTGGAAGGAAACAGTTGTAAACCAGATATACCTGGCAAATAACTTACATCTACAATATAAAGAGCTCTTTCAACTCAAGAAAAGAAACAACACAGTTTTTTCTTTTCTTTTCTTTTCCTCTTTTGACTTTTATTTTAAAATTGTGGGGTACAATTCAGGGCTAGGTATACAAATATTCATGCTATAAAGCCTACAACAGCCACTGAGGTCCCCTGAGGCGGGCCACTCCTCCCCAGACAGATGCCAACTACCGTCAATCCCAACTGCCCACCTCCATCCCCACCCCCCGCAGTTTCCCTGCTACAACATAGCTTTTTCCAGATGGGCAAATGATTTGAGTAGACTTTCACCAAAGAAGATATGCAGATGAGCAAAGAACCTAAGAAAAGATGTTTAACATCATTAGTAAAGAAGATTATACAAATTAAAGTCACAATGAAATACTACCACACACCCATTAGAAGAGCTAAATTTTAAATATCATCAGGTGTGCCAGAGCGTGTGGTTCACACAGAACCTTAGTACAATTCTGGTAACAACATGGCAGCAATCATGTGACTAACCCACCCATCTGCCTGCTGTCCATCATCTGACATCATCAGTGCCTGCGCTTGCCTGCCCCTCTGTGATGACGTGGAGGCAGACCACCACCCGATCACCCTGATGATCTTCCCCCATCAAGGGAAATGGTCAAAAGGACTCAACCACAAGCAACCGGCGGCCGTTGCCTTGCGAGAGTCTGGCGTGGCCACGTGCTCTTTGAGCCATGGCTATCGCCATGCTTCCTGACTTTGGCCCCCTCCCCCACCTTGAGGAGGTGAATCTTCTCTTTTTTTTCTCTTTCTCTCTCTAATTTACTTCTAAATAAACTTTTCTTTCTTAAAAAAAGAAAAGAAAATTGTACAACCTTGGCAAACATTTTGTTAATTTCTTAAAAAGCTAAACATAACACTTACCACATGACCAACCCACTCCACTCGTAGCTATCTGCTCAAGAGAAATAAAATCCTACAACCACACAAAGACTTATCCACATCAGCTTTTATGTAATATTCCAAAACTGGAAAAAATTCAAATGGCCATTAACTAATGAACTAGAGTAATATCCATAAGATGAAGAATACACGATAATAAAAAACGAGCTACTGATATAAGCAACCACATGGAAAAGTCTCAAATGTTAGGTTGGGTGAAACAAGTCAGAACATTTCCCCTGCCTAAAAAAGAGTATGCTTATGTGATTGCATTTATATGAAATAGTAAAAATGCCAACTGATTTATATGACAGAAGGTAGATCTGTGGTTGTATGAGGTAAGAAAGAGGGAGAGAAGATTAATTACAAAGGGGTGAGGACACCTTCAGAGACATAAATATGTTCACTATCTCGGGTGACAGTTTCAGGTGTCATGTGTCAAATATTGTCAGAAAAATCAAAATATCTGCAGGTCGGCTGGGTGCAGTGGCTCATGCCCGTGGTAATCCCAGCACTTTGGGAGGCTGAGGTGGCAGGATTGCTTGAGCCCAGGAATTCAAGGCCAGCCTAGGCAACCTAGCAAGACCTCATCTTTACAAAAAAATTTAAAAGTTAGCAAAGTATAGTGGTACACACCTGTAGCCCTAGCTACTCGGGAGGCTGAGGCAGAAAGATTGTCTGAGCTAGGAGGTCAAGGTTGTGGCAAGCTGGGATGATGCCACTGCACTCCAGCTTGGGTGACAGAGTGAGACACGGACTCAAAAAAATACTACACACACACACACACACACACACACACACACACACAATATTTCACAGTTAATTATGCCTCAAAGAGTCTTTTTAAAAAATGGCTATCATAGCATTTTCCATACTTTTTCAATGTTCAAAAATTAAAAATCAAGGGGAATGCTTAAAAGAGATTCTGTTGCATCAATTCCTAAATACACTAGCTTTAAAGGGAAGAACACACTTAACAGTTACATTCCTCCTGGCACCTGCTCTATTGCTGTTATAAACACTACTGCAAAATATGCTTGATAAATGACGGCTATGGTCAGTGTCAGTGTGAGAGGAAGCAGCCTCCACGCAGCTCTCCTCTGCTCCCTGCATGTGTTCCTCTCCTTGAGGGGGCTTAGGAGCAGGCTGGCATACTCACTGGCAAGGCAGTCATCAATGTCCTCTTCACAGTCCATGCCGCTGAAGCCTGGAGGACATTCACACATGTAGCTGCCCTGGGTGTTATGGCAGAGACCGTGGTTCATGCAGGGCTTGGAGACACACTCATCAATGTCAACTGTACACCGCTGACCTAGAATCACAGGAGCAATCAATGACCAAGTCTTTGGAAGCCGATTCCCACAAAAATCTATGCAGGGTTTGAGCTGGGTGGATGAGACTACTCCGGCACATCCTGGTTGGTCTCCTGCTTTGTCAAGTCCCATGAAGGACCTGAGAAATTGCTGCCAAGGTGCTAAAACTCCCTGTAGAGAGAACATCATGGTTTGAGACTCTCTGGTTGGTGTCTTTCAGCCGCTAGAGGGCCTCAAAGATATGGACAAGGGAAAGGCTTTCCTAGCCATTCCAGTGAGCCGGTCCTGGGCAAAGCCTGTGCTCTTGACAAGATGGGTAAGCATTAGAAGACCAGGGCCTTCCATGTCATCTGATGACCTAACCACTTTGCTTGAAGTTCAGAATGAACATTCTTGACTTCTCCACCCCCGTGTTGTTACCTTGCCAGCCAGGAGCACACAAGCAGGTGTAACTCTCAAAATTCGGTGCCTCTTTGCAAACAGCAGCATTCTCACAAGGGTTTGGTGAACAGGGAGCCAATACAGTCTGACAGTTCTTGCCTGGAACATAAATGACAGAGTTTAGGATAGGAAACCAGATAAAAAAATGAAAAATTCCCCAAGTTGTATATATATCAAGAATATTCAGAATTCAAGTCAAAGGTTGTGGTTAAGAGACTTTGGAAACTGAGAGACCCATGTTCCTTACAGTCTTGACTCTGACATTGCTAACTGTGTGACTTTGGGCAAGTTGTTAATCTTCTCTGAACCTTCCTCATATATAGAAATGGAATTATAATAGTATGTAACTCACAGAGAGCTACTGTAAGTTAAATGAAAAGATGCACACAAAGTCTTTATTCCCACAGAGTCTGGAGGACAGAGTGAGCACTCAGCTATGAGTGGTTACATGAACGTCTGCATCAGTCTTGTGTGATACTTCCTACATCTCCATAGCTAAGGTTCAGCTAGCCAGTCTCTCAGCTGCATGGATCCACCTTCGCGTGAGCAGGGAAGAAGCAACAGCATGGTCCCCTGCTTCACACAAGGACAAAAAGGGAATGATTCCTCAGAGTAGCATCAATGCTCCACTGACTGGGGCGAGACTTAGGCACTGACAGAACAAGGCCAAGTATCCTCTCTGGTCCCTGCTGGCACCTACAGGACCCACCTGTGTATGGCAGCACACAGTGGCAAGTGTAGCCACTTATGTCATCAAAGCAGGTTCCTTGGTTCAGGCATGGATTTGAAGCGCATTCATCAATATTCACCTGGCAGTTATAGCCTGTAGACAGGAAAAAAAAAAAACCACAACAGTGAAAAATTCTCCTACACTATTAACCAGTTCTCTTGATGGTAAAAACACCTGAGAAATTGCATTCATTTCTTCAGGACACTGGAACGTCTATCTGTCCAGTCGTTTCAGCTACATCATAGTCAGTCAACAAATGACAGCAGTCATTAGTTGCAAAGATGAATGGAAGAACAGTCGATCCTAATGGCCTGAAAGCCTAGTGCCCCTCCAAATACAAGTAACTTCTCAAAAACAAACTGAGAAGCTCACTAAGGGTGAAACGCCTCTGCGTGACCTGAACAAGCCCCTTGGACACAAAGTTTCTGGTCAGGAAAAGGGATGATGTTTTTGAATAGATTAATCCAAGTCTCTGATTTAGGCCCACTCTTTCATAGGCACAGGCACTGACACGGACTTCCTGAAGCCACAAGGAATGAAACCTTTCACAAAGAGAAGAAGAAAAGGCGTGCAGGAGTCGTGGGAATAGGACAGTGCCCAAATACCACGCACCTTTGCATTTTCATTAGGGCTTGGCACAGAGCCTTCAAATGGAGAAACGATGACACTGTAAAAAACAAAACGATGGGCCAGGGGCACAGGGATCTGAGTTCAATTTGTGCTCTGCTGCTCATGGGGTACACGACTTTGGATTTTACCTGTTGTCTTATATTTTGCTCGCTGATAAACAAGTTTCAGGATAAAGAAATAAATGTGCTCTAAAAATTACAATGTGTTAGAATATGAGTGACTGAAACAAGGTCTTAGAAAAGTTTCAAGTAATCCAACATAGCGGCTCTAAACATACTGATGTATCACGAGAGCCTGGCCCAGTGTGTGAGCAGGGAAAGCAATGAATAACTGGATAGATGACAGATGAGTGCAATATAAACTTGTAAATTATTTACCCACATGTCTCTCTTGTGAATGTCCAAGAGAAAATTGATGGAAGGAACACAACAGTGACAACTAAAAAGAAAGGATTTTATACAATTCCCATGATTATGCATTTTTCCTGAAAACCACAAAGGAGTTATTATCTAAGAATGTCTTAATAGGTAAAAAGTTTCTTTGTGATGGTTCTGAACAAATGGATTCTTCCATGATATTATTGTTATCTTAACTACAGTAAGCAAAATATTTTTTATTCTACTTCCATGTGTCTATTTGAGCTACCATAGAGTCAAACCTGGACCGGAAGCATACAATGTGACACTTGATCAAAGCTGTAGAAGTGGAGTCTTACTGCTTGTCGTAGATATCACTGTTAAAACAGCTCACCTCTCTGCTAGGCTAAAGGTAGAAATTATATCTATTAGTGTTTATAATGCCCACGTGCCTTATAAATACTAATTGCTCAATATGTTGACTATACAAGTGAATGAGAAAAAAATAGAAGAAAACTGAGAAGTCAAGCAGTATGTACCAACAAGAAGACAAACAGAACATAAAAAGATGTCGTTTTGTTTTCACCTTTAAAGCCCTTCTTGCAAGTACATCTGTATCCATTCACCAGATTGTCACAAGTGCCTCCATTCTGACATGGGTTAGAAAGACATTCATTTTTGTCCACTTCACAGTTGATGCCAACCCAGCCTGCATCACAGAGGCACTTATATCTGGAAGAAGATAGATTTTTTTTTAAACCGTGGGAAGCACAAATGTATAATTGAGTCACAGAGTGAAATATAGGACTTGGTGAAGGAATGAGGGGATACAGGAACTCACAGTATACGAATCTTATTTTTACTCTTCTATGGACCTATCTTTGTATCACCTTATATTGCTAAATCATGTGGGCCCATCTGGTCATCCAGTAAAAAAAGCTCCCTGGTGCTTCCCTGGCTCACCCAGAAGCTACGTGAATAAATCTATGCAACGTATTTTATTATACATAAAACTAAAGTAAAGCAAACTTTGGGATCCTACTTGTTTCTGGTACAAAATAGACACCTAAGATATAGGGCACTACTAGGGAGCCTAAGCCTTTAAAGAGAAATAAGACTTTAAAACTTCTACTGGAAAACTGTCACTGCAGTGCTCCTGGGACTTTTCATATCGGAGTCATGCTCTGTTCTGACCTGAAGTCCAGCCTCAGAAAGCACCTAGGGTATTGAGCAGGAAAAGGCACACGAATGAAAGTATTTGAAATATAAATAATCTCCAATTTGAACATCATTAGCATTTAGAGTGGAATGTGATATCAGGAGTAGACAGCCTCCTTATCTAGAGAGCTTTAAGAAAAAGGTAGATGGGTAGGGATGCTTTGAAGGCTGCCAGACTATGAAACAGGAATATTGGGTTAATTTGTGTTTAAAATAACTTTATTTTCCATGTACCTCTAAAAACACACTTTTATTCTTCCACTTGTTGGAAATTTGGCAAATGGCAATGCTCAAAGCCCCATCCATGGCATGAATAGCAAAAAGTATAAGCCCATATCATGAAACCTAAGATCATACTCTGTGAGTCTAGAAAACTGTCTAGATCAATTTTCACACACCACCCAATTTCGAGGAGCTTGCAAACTATAAATCCTTTATTGGGGTCATGTCTGAAGTTGGCTGAAGCCGTTCTACTTCAGACTACACACTGATCCTGTGAGAACTGTGCTGCACTATGTTGAAGCATGGGGAGAAAATCAAAAGCTAGAACATACCTTAGAAATAAAAAACTTTGTACTTTTTTTGTCAAAGACTCATAAAATAAGCCTGGGATCCTCTCCTGAGGTCCTTGCTGATGACCTATCTTAGGGAGACATTCCCCCTATTTTCCACCTAGGTCTTCAGTCATAGAAGGGAGGGACCAGCTTCCATGCATGAAGTAGTGATTTGGAAGACTTTGATGCAGATTACCAAAATGTTCAGCTCATGACCACAACAGACTACTTCATGCTACCACTGTACTACACACCAACAGGCTCGACACAGGTAAATATGAAACTATTAACACATGGCAGCTACTCACCCACTGAGGCCTCCGGTACAATTTCCATGGATGCAGGGGTTGCTCAGGCACTCATTGACCTGCGAGTAGCAGCTGGGGTGATGGGGCCCCTCAGGGCATATACAGCGGAAACCGTTCACATCATTGATACATGTTGCACCCTTGCGACAGGGATTGGAGGCACACTCATCAATGTCAATGTTACATCTCTGCCCTGTAGAGAAGGGGAACATTAGTCATGTTCCAAATGCTTAGGGAACAGATGCAGAATTCTGAGGCATATTATTATGTGGACACTCTTCATCTGCACAGGCCATAAGGTGCCTTGGGTCATCAGATGTCAAAATTTAAGGAAATTAGATACCCAACAGCACTTAATGCCACGCAAGGAAGGAGCAAAGAGCATTGACTTTAGATAATGAAGAAAGTTAACAAAAGACTAGAACACTGTTGTAGCATTTTGACATTTCCATCCACCTTGGCAACCGGAGCCTTCACAGGGTTTCAAAAAGAGAACATCAAATGTTACCAAGAAGGCTTCTCCTCTTTAAGGCTGTCCTGAGTACACTCAAAGAACATTCACTAACATCCTTTCTGCTTCTCACAAATTCATTTTTTCATGAATTTCAGTCTCTTACATTTCTATTTATGGAAAATTGAAATTAACTGGAATGCTTAGTAAAGGAACTATTAACTACATAATTAAATTGATGAAAAAGAACAGTTATTTTGCTTTCATTACAATTGTATTAACTTTCGGGCTTTTTTTTTTTTAATCTCGGGAAGCAGAGTCTCTAAGCATGATATTATTGTCCTCTGATAAGTGAGAAAAAACATTTGGGGTTTGGTTTCTCCCTGCAGATCTATGATCCTCACACTTTAATGTGCAAAATAGTTGCTTAAAGTCTATACTTTAAATGGAGATTCCTAGGCCCTATCCTCATAGATATAATGGACAGACTCCAGGAAACCACATTTTAAACAATGCAAACTGTGCAGAGACTAGCTTTTGAGAAATTCTGTTCCAGACAATTGTTACCTATCATCTAATAGTGTAGCTGTTTGGAGCATATGAAACTGAGGTGAACATGGTGCTCCTCTAAGATATACATAAAGGTTGCACTTTGAAAAGGTATCTATTATAACCTTAACATATACTGCATTAGGCTGAATAAAGTAACACAGGCCAGTTACATAAGTGTTTTGATTTGCTAAGTTTTGAATAATTGGGAGTTAATTATATCTCAAAATGATATGAAATTTTAAAATTACCCATAACTCTGTAAATGAGTGGCATTAAGCAAATGCTACGAAGGAATTTATAAATTTCAAAGAATACGATGTTCTGATTCAGATTTTTTTTTTAAATGCATTTTTCTATTTAAGACAGAATAACCCTGCATTTAAAACAGGACATTCCAAGTGAAGTGGATACTCGCTCCATAAAGCATGAGCAGTAACATTTTTCCACCCTCCATTGCTCTCTCAACTGTTATCGGTGTTCTTGGGGTAAAACCCCTAATCTGGACGTGGTCGCTGCTTTCCTCTCTCGTGTTTTATTAACAACTTGCTTAAAACACTGGTGCTGCAGCTGCTCTGCTTGGCCCCTAGTACCTCCCAGGGCGCGGAGGCCGAATGCCATTTTCAAAAGATCAAGAAAGCCCTTCCCAGGAAGAAGCTGCCTGGAAAGACTGCCGGCTCGGGGCTCGGCCTCCCCACTGCAGCAGCTGCGGGACCCCGGCTTCAGGGCTGAGCTGGGCGCCCAGAGGCGGAGACGCGGCGGCGGGCAGGACAGCGCTTTGGCGTGCTCCCCACAGGGGCAGAACCGACCCGTCTCTGGGACCCGCGGAGGACCTGCTCAGGGGTCCATCACGATCCCGGGGGAAGACGCCGAAGCACAAACTCCAGGGGGACAGGATGCGGTCTGAGTCAAAGGCGCCCCACGCCCTAACCGGATTCAGCCACCGACAAAGCGTGTGGCCAGAAGAGGACGACGGAAACTCCAGAGACATCAGAGACATCAGAGACATCAGTGGAGTCCGGGGGCCCGACCTCCTCCTCCCGGCCATGCTCGGACCGTCAGACCCACGTGCCTGGCGTGACCGAGAGGGCCAAACCCCGGTGGAGCCTGGCAGCCAGCGGCCACGGGGGATGCGCTCCACAACAAGCCGGGCCGGGGAGGAGACAAGCCCGCACCTTCTCCCCCGGGGGGCCGCCCTTGACCCACTCGAGTGGGCGGGAGGACCGAGGCCCCGCCCGCCCCCACCGCCCTCTCCGGGCCCCTGGGCCGGCACTGGGGGGGAGCGCATGAGGCCCAGGCTCTGCAGGCGACGGCCGACAGGCAGCTGAGAGGAACAATTACAGAATCTGACACAGAGGGAAGGTTTTTTGTGTGTCTGTTAACTTTTTCATGTTTTTCCTTTGTGCGTGAACGTGTCCATGAGGTTCAATCTGCATCCCCCCACCCTTTTTCCCTTCTTTCTTTCTTGTTTCATTCTTTGTTTTCTGTTTATGTGTGTATGCGAAGGATTGATCATCTTTCGCTTTTTTGGGGTTTGTTTTTGCTTTTTTGTTCTTCCCTTTTTTTAGTTCAATGTGTGTGTAAATGCATGTGTGAGGGTTCAATATGAATTCCTTTTTTTCTTCTCTTTTCTTTTTTTTTTCTCTTTTTCTTCTCCTTTCATTTTGGGTTAGGGGTGTGTGTGTGTGTGTGTTTGGTTTTCCAGTTTTTTGTGGTGGTTGTTGCTTTTTGTCTTGTTTTGCTTTGTTGTTATTCCAGTTTCTTTTGGGGGGTGTGTGTGTGTGTGTGTGTAACTGCTTTTTGCTTTGGCTTCTGCTCTTGTTGTTCTGTGTTTTATTTTATTTTTAAAATTTCTGTCCATCTCTTTTCATTCTAATTTTCTCTGTTCTCCTCATTGCTGTTACTGTATCTTGGACTCAGGGCATACACACACGTATCCGTTACATCGTCATATAATGGAAAGTGGGTCTCAGGGAACACATACCACAATCAGTGACCATTGTGATTTGCAAGTAGTTTCTGAATCCTAGCTCCCCATGCTCTACATTATTCGACTCTCAAACTACAGGAGAAGAATAGAGGGCTGAGCAAACATCAGAAGTGAAAGCCTCTCCCACTGCCACTGAATAATGGAACTATAGAGAAAAGAAAGAGATCTGTCACAAATGAGGCAAAATTAACAGAGGAACATAGATAATTCCAAGTGTTACAAAGAGAAAAAGTCCGAAAAATAAGACCTCAGAGCCAGACCATGGAAGTAATCAGCAACTGGCCCTAGAATACAACAGGGATTAGGAAATGGATGCAAAGCGTGAATAATACTCAAGAGTGACAAGATGTAAAACTGAAAGAACTTGTAACAGAGATTTTGGCCATAAAAAATTTTGTCCAGGATGACAAGCATGGAAAGCAGAATTAATCAAGAAGAAAGGCTCTCAGAACTTGGAAGATCAAAACATGGAATTAACCCAATCTGTAAAAAACATATAAAGAAAACTCAGAAAGAAAGAACAAAGCCTCCAAGAGATATGCAATTATATGAAGAGGCTGAGCCTACACCTAACTAGTATCCCAGAAGAAGAAAGGGAAATGGAGACTACCTTGGAGCAAGTATTCCAGGAGGTTATCCAAGAAAACTTCCTCTATCTCACCAGAGATGTGACCAGCCAAACACAAGAGATACAGAGAACCCTCACAAAACATCAAATGAGAAGACCAACCCCTAGACACATAATAATTCGCCTACACAAAGTAGGCACAAAAGAAAAAGAATCCTAAAGGCAGTAAGAGAGAAAGGTCAGGCTACCTACCAGAGAAAACTAATCAGAGCAGCAGCAGACCTATTGGCAGAAACACTACAAGCTAGAAGAAACTGGAGTCCAACTTTTAAAGTCCTCAAAGATAAACAATTTCAACCAGGAATTTCCTACCCAGCCAAGCTCAGCTTCAGCAGCAATGGAGAATTAAAATCCTTCCTAGACATCTAATCCCTGAAAGATTATGCAGCTTCCAGACCAGCTCTACAGGAGACACTTAAAAAGGTATTAAGCACAGAAGAAAGAAAAAAAAAAAGAATGATCATGCACTTCCCAAGAGAACAGGTGAACACAGAATCGACAGAGAATACATCATGACCGCAAACTTGAAAACACATACATACATCAACCCAAAAGCTAAAAGAAAACCAACAAAGAAAAAAACCTTATAAGAAACTCATGATAGGTATAAACAATCACATTTCAATAATCAGCCTGAATGTAAATGGACTAAATGTACCACTGAAAAGACACAGAATGGCAAGCTGGATAAAACACCATGACCCACTAATCTGCTGCATGCAGGAAACTCATCTCACCACAAGGGACGAACACAGACTCAAAATTAGAGGAAGAAAAATGAGTTTCCATACAAATGAATCGCAAAAGAAGGCAGGAGTTGCTATCTTAATATCAGACAAAACCTTTAAGCTATCAAAAATTTAAAAAGATACAAAAGGACACTACCTAATGATAAAAGGTTCAATCCATCAACAAGAAATAGCCACCCTAAACATATATGCAACCAACACAGAAGCACCAGCATTTATAAAGCAACTGCTAAGTAAACAAAATAAGCTATTGACTCTAACACTATCATAGCTGGGGACTTAAATACTCCACTAACAACCCTAGATAGATCATCGAGGCAAAAAAATAAACAAGGAGATCCAGAACTTTAACTTGATGCTTGACCAAATGGACTTGATACCTACAGAATACTCCATCCAACACCCACAGAATATACATTCTACTCATCACCACATGGAATATTCTCCAAGATCAAAGACATCCTAGACAATAAATAAAGCAAAATAAATTTCATGAGATCGAAATATTGCCATGAGCCTTCACAGACCACGGTGGAATAAAAATAAATATCAACACCAACAAAATTTCCCCCAAACCCAAGAAGGTATGGACACTAGACAGCATGATGCTGAATGACTACTGAGTCTACACAGAAAACAAAACAGAAATTAAAAGACTCCTGGAAACAAATGAAAATGAAGAAACATCCTACCAAAACCTCTGGTATGCCATGAAAACAGTTCCAAGAGGGGAATTTATATCTCTACGAATGCAAGTCAAGAAAATGGAAAGGTCAAGAGTTAACAGCCAAACAAGTCACCTAAGGGAGTTAGGAAGACAAGACCA